GTGTGCCTTGTTTACCTTTCCTGTAGCCATGCTGAGCTCTGAATCCAGGTCTGTAATATTCTACCACACAGCACCATCATCTTTGGGAGAAATGTCTCTGGAAATAAATGATTGATGTTTTGTAAATACAAAGAATGTGTACATGGATTATGTTTTATGTGGATTATCTCGTAACCCTCCCGAAGATCGTGGGAGAAGAATCCATTTTATGGACAAGGAAATGGGTTTGAAGTAGTACGTAGACAGCTCAGACTTCAAGAGTGGAGGATTGAGTGTTTTAGGTACAGATGTTCTGGTCGCTGAGCCCAGTGGTTTTACCACTGAGCTATCTTGCTTCTGAAGGAGTCACTTTACTCCTCCAGGCAGCAGGGTGAAGTGCAGAAGAACTCATGCTAAAGGGGTTCAGGGGACAACATACTGTCTCCCTTTTTCTTTCTCTCTTAGGAAATTAAAAAGTCCCGTGATGTTAGATTTCCGTGTGTTTATTTTACATTTAAGATGGTTCGGTACATGAAAGTCAAGTTAGATAACCCTTCAGAAACAGTAACAGGAGTAATGGTTCCCGGAGGGTATGGGAAGAGAGGAGGAATGGGAAGCAGCTGATAGCACTGATGGCTGTATAACCCCACTGGATGGACTGAAAAACCGAATTGTATATGAATGGATATATTGGATTGTGTAAGGTATGGCAGGAAAAAAAAGAAAAACTATTATAGAAAAAAAAATACAGGTTCCTGGCGAGTATGGTGGGGGAGGGAAGGGATGAAGGGGAGCTGATATCAAGGAGTTCAAGAAGAAAGAAAATGTGGTAGCAATTGTACAAAACTGCCCGATGTGATTGGACTATAGAGTGTTATGGCATCTGTACGAGCTCCCAATAAAATGATTAAACAATTAAAAACTCATGTGACTGGTTTTTGGCTGCATTTCGTCATAAGCCAGGACCAGGAGCATGTCTCCTGACTGGTTTGGTTCAGTGTCCTGGACGTCACTGGTCCTTCTAGCAGCTCCTCTATCTAAAGATTCCTTCCACTTATGTGTCATCCTTGTGGCAAGGGTAGGGGCATGCATCCCTTCACCATCTGGTAGAAAGGCCGGCAAGTCTGCCCTGGCTTCCACTTTGGCTCGTGTACTTACTCCCGTGGAACCTAGGATTAGTTCACCTAGGAAGAGCCTTGAGACGTGAAAGGAGGGGCGCATCCCTACTGGGCAGAGCCACTCTGAAGTGTGGATGGTGGTGTTGGGGATCATTATGCACAAGGTGACTTGTGCACAGAAAATGTCGGTTGTGCCTTAGAGTTCTGCTCCACGCAGGCAGTGGCGCCTCTGATGGTCTAACGGACCCGGGAGAAGGACGCGAGGGGTTCTGGGCTGCTGAGGCTCCGAGCTGCTGGGCAGGGCGGGCGCTTGATGGTGTTTCGTTTTCACCCTCTGCAGCTCCATCTTCCCAGGATAGTGCCCTTCTCCCTGGGAGAAGCCTGAAGGGGGAGGACAGAAGAGCTGTCATACATTCTTACATCCTTAAAGCCATGTCTGAGGTAAGAGAGCATTCTTTTCTCTTAACAGTTTCCTCTTTCAGATATCTCCGCCTGACAGTATGCCATTCATTTCTTAACCTGACCCTCATTCCTTCATTCCTATAAACAGAAGGCCCCTCGGAGCCCAGTGGGCTTCCTCTCTCTCCCTCTCCCCGTAGCCTGCATTTCCTCTTCATGGAGGAAATGGTTCAGCGCTCCTTAGGGGCTCCCGGTTGAGTTAGGGGTCACGCGGAGGCAGAAATCGACACCTTGAGAAATGACCACCTTCACTGGGTAGTACTTGATCCATCGAGGTGGAGGTGTCTGGTCAGACCGTGAGCTTCGAGCTGTCCCACACGCTTGAGTCTGAGAGGAAGGAAAGCAAGCGGAGAGGCGGCCTTGGTGGTCGTAACCACGGTAAATGGCAAGGTCTCTTGCTCATTCATATAACCTGCTGGATCTCAGGTATGAAAGCGCACGTCCTGAACTCCACTCTCAGGCCACTTTTAAGATTTTTCCATTTGTCTTTGGTTGTACGCAGTTTGACTCTGACGAGCCTTTGTGATTTCTTCTTTTTCTTGCTTTAGGGAAAAGTAACGTTTTTTGTCTCCCAGCCCTGATGAGCTCCGCTTACAGACAAGCCCAAGTCTTGTCTCTGTTGATTGCTCTGCTGTGCTTTCAGGAAGTCAGTTTATATTAAAACACTTACTGTATATACTCGAGTATAAGCCGAGTTTTTCAGCACATTTTTATGCAGTTTTTGTGGTAAAATTAAGCACCTCGGTGGATATTTGGATCGGCTTATATTCTAGTATTTACGTTGTCATTGTTTTTAACAGGAAGACTTCCCCAATAGAGTCTACTCTATCAGGGCTGGGAGGGACAATTGGTTTGGAAAAAGGAGAGAAGAAAGAGTGGTTTGTGAAAAGCAAAAAAAACCCACCAAAAAAGCAGCATTATTATTACTCACAATCATACCCTGCTGTTACAGCAGGCCAGAGCTAGGCTGCTAACTTGAAAGAGATCAGTGGTTCAAACCCACCAGCTGCTCCCTGGGAGAAACTAACAGTTGACTTCCATAAAGATTACAGCTTTGCACTCCCTGTGCGGCAGTTGTGCTTTGCCCGAGGTTGCTGTGAGCCTACCTACATCAACGAGATGCCATGCCACAACAGCGACTCACAATAAAAATGTATGGCATGTCGACATAGAAAGATGGATTTAAGACCTGTTCTGCTAGGCTTAAGGAATCCTGGTGGTGCTATGGGAACCCAATTGGGAATGGCCAGTTGAAAGGTCAGTTGTTATGAAACACCCACCAGCTCTGTGGCAGAAAGACTTAGTGATCTGGCTTCTGGAAAGATTCCAGTCTAGGAAACTTTGTGGGGCAGTTCTACACAGTCACGTGGGGTCACTGTGACTAGGAATCGACTAAGGCCCACAGCAGCAAGAATATTTGTACGTGAGAGGGTGCGTTAGGCTGGGTTGGTTAGAGGAGCAAATCCAGATATGTGTAAGAGAGAGCTTTATATCAAGAGCTCTCTCTAGTGCAGCGGTTCTCAACCTTCCTAATGCCGCGACCCTTTCATACAGTTCCTCATGTTGTGGTGAACCCCCAACCATAAAATTATTTTCATTGCTACTTCATAACTAATTTTGCTACTGTTATGAATAGGGTGACCCCTGTGAAAGGGTCGTTCGACCCCTAAAGGGGTCATGACCCACAGGTTGAGAACCACTGCTCTAGTGGTTAGCTTCCATTTGACTTTTATAGGAGATCAAGGGGACCTGTTGGTGCACTGGGTAAATGCTTAGCTGCTAACCAAAAGGTTGATGCTGTGAACCTAACCGGTGTTCCGTGTGTGTTAGTCCGGGTTGACTAGAGAAACAAATTCATAGACACTCATATGGGTATAAGAAAGAGCTTTATGCAAAAGAGCACTTGTATATTGAGAAAACATCCCTGCCCAGTCCAGATCAAGTCCATAAGCCCAATATTAGCCCATGTATTCAGTACTAGTTCATAAATTCCTCTTTAGGGTTGTGTTAGTCTGGTTAGACTAGAGAAAAAAATCCACAGAAACTCATGTGTATAAGAGAGTTTTCTTCATGGTTCCAGGTTTTTCTCCAACTTCTGACAAAGACCACTAGAGTTCAAACCTCAAATCCAAAGAGTTCCTTTTTTTTAAATTTCAATCTGTCAACAGCCCTTAGGCATGTTTCTTCACCTTCTAATGTCCTGAGTACTCCAAAGCACTGGACGGGCCTAATCACTTTGAAGCTTTCCTTCCAGGTGTATCCTAAACCCATCTAAAGATCAAATTAATGGCTTGAGGCAAGTGGGCTTACAATGGCCCCCATCTCTGGTCTTGTTCTCTGATGTTTGGACCAGTTGCAGCTGCCTTAGCTAGTTCTCTGCCTCAGCTGGCAAGGCTCACTTCCTGCGAGAAATCCCTGAGGAGAAGCCACATGGATGTACCCTGATGCAGCCCTGGGTGCTGGAGCAGCTGGGTGGAGACCCCTGCCAGTGCGGAGATGCTTACACGCTCACTGATTCTGCATTTGGTGTCATTGTGTGTGTTTTGTGAGTTCGAGGAGGACTTTGTAGATTGATGTCGGACATATGGGCTAATGTCGGACTTACGGGCTTGGACTGGGCTGGGTTGGGATGCTTAACATACAATTACCCTTTATATAAAATGTTCTCTTATAAAATATGAGTGCTTATGAATTTTGTTTATCTAGTCTACCCAGACTAACTCAAGACTCAGCAGCACACACAATGATCCGAATGCAGGAAGAGCACAGGCCAGTGGGAGAAGGTTTTGTGAATCCAGTGGGAATGGAAGCATCTCAATGCTGGCGCGGGTCTCCATGTGTCTCCTCCAGCTCTCTGAATGTCTCAACTGCAGAAAAGGGAAGGCAGGGATACTGGGTCTGGCCTCCAGTGAGCTATTTATCTCCGTTGTGCCTCCAAATGAGGTCATCAAGCTGTGACCTGATTGACAGGCTAACCTCCACCCCTTCACTCATGTTGACAGGAGATTATGTAACTGTCCATCATGGGAGAAAAGATATGGCGATTTGCTCCCTCCCACTAAAGATTTCAGCCTAGGAAACCCTGATGGGCTCTGATTGGGATTGTTTTAGTAAGTGGATATATCACTGTGGTAGTTACACACTTTCACATTATACCAACTTTGTCAAAGAATGAAGGGGTGGAGTCCAGCTTGTCAATCAGGTCACATCCTGATTGATCCCTCTTTGTGGACTGGCCTTAACATGAGGTTTCTGGGACACACTCTCTCTGCTTCACATTGACAAGTCACACGGAGCTATGCTGATGGCAGTCAGAGTGGAGGAGCCAGGTGGAAAACCATGCCAGCACTGAGATGCTTCCACAAGACTTTTCACCCACTGGCCTATGATCTTCCTGCTTTTGGAATGATTGCATGTGCTGCGTGAGTCTAGAAGTATTTATGGACTAGTATCGGACATAAGGGCTAATATCGAATTTATGGACTTAATCTGAACTGGGCCAGGATGTTTTCTTAATATACAATTTCTCTTGGGTATAAAACTCTCTTTTACACACACATGAGTGTCCCTGGGCTTATTTATCTAGTCAGCAGCCCAGACTAACACAATCAAATACAAAAACATTTCTCAAAAATGTTAACGTTATTTGTTCCAGTCCATGTCATATAAGACTCTAAAGTGAAACCTGCATGATGTTCTTCTCTAAGGACTGGTTCCTCCTGGTGACATGTCCACACTATGTGAAATGAAGGAAGTCTTGTCATCTTCTGCCCCAAGAGCACTGTGGCTGAACTTCTTCTAAACTAGATTTGCTTGTTCTTCCGGTGCTCCGTGCTACGTGCAGTGTTGTTGAATCGTTGAAAACACCACGGCTTTCTGAGGCACAGCTTAGTGACATTTTTGCTTTTTAACAATTTAAGCTCTTTGGCAGCAGGTTTACCCAGTGCAGTACCTTGCTTGACTTCCTGACTGTCGATTCCTTGGGTGTTGACTATACATCCAAGTACAATGAAATCCTTTGCAACTTCACTTTTTCCTCTATCATGATGTTGCTTTTGGGTCCAGTTGTGAGGATTTGTGTTCGCTTTATGTTGGCATGAAACCTGTACTGAGGACTGTAGCCTTTGATTTTCCTCAGTTGGTGCTTCAAGCCCTCTGTTTTCAGCAGGCAGGATTGTGTCGTCGCAGGTTGCTAATGAGCCTTCTTCTGATCTTGATGCCTTGTTCTTCATATAATCCAACTTCTTGGATGATGGCCTACAGATCGAATAAGTAATAGTGAAAGGATATAACCCTGACACTAGCGTTTCCGAATTTAGACCATTCAGTATCCCTTTTGGTCTGTGTCCTGTTACAGAGTACATTTGTATAGCAGCCTGGGTGGTGTGGTTATGCATTGGGCTGCAACCTGCAAGGTCAGCATTTGAAACCCCAGCCACTCCATGGGGCAAAATGTGGCTTTCTACTTTCATAAAGCATTACAGTTGAAACATACAACTTTCCTCTAGTTCCTAAATGCCCCCCCCCCCCCCATCGTGATCCCAATTCTACCTTACAAATCTGGCTAGACCAGAGGATGTACACTGGTACAGATAGGAACTGGAAACACAGGGAATTCAGGGTGGATGATCCCTTCAGGACCAGTGTGGTGTGAGTGGCGATACTGGGAGGGTAGAGGGAGGCTGGGTTGGAAAGGGGGAACTGATGACAAGGATCTATATGTGACCTCCTTCCTGGGGGATGGGCAACAGAAAAGTGGGTGAAGGGAGATGTCAGACAGGGTAAGATATGACAAAATAGTAATTTATAAATTATCAAGAGTTCATGAGGGAGGGGGGAGCGGGAAGGAGGGGGAAAATGAGGAGCTGATGCCAGGGGCTTAGGTGTAGAGCATATATTTTGAGAATGATGAGGGCAATGAATGTTCAAATGTGCTTTGCACAATTGCTGTATGTATGAATTGTGATAAGTTATATGAGCCCCCAATGAAATGATTTAAAAAAAAAAGAGTTACAGTCTTGGAAATTCACAGGTGCAGTTCTAGCTTGTCCTGTAGGGTCGCTATGAATCAGCATTGACTCAGTGGCAATGAGTATTTAAGTCATATTTTTACAAAAGCACTATAGAACATGTTTATTATTTTCATTACATAGATACTTAATTTTAGAAGATAAAGAATCGAAAAGGTAAAATGTATTTATCATATGTTAATACCTTTGGAACATTGACTGTTTCACTGTACAGTTTGAAACATGCTAATTTAGAGCACACACCATCTTTTAAACCTCAATTCTGCCCTTGTCTCTTTTCTGAAAGCTTTTGTTGCAACCCTGGTCCATCCTGATTTATCCAGATTGCAAAATGCTCTAGTCTTCAGTACGAACAACGTCATTTTACCCTTGATTGTAATCGTTGGTTGTTGCCCAGTCTTGTGTGTGTTCTCTTTTCTCTTCTACAGGGCTGTATATTCTTCATGGATAGGGACTGTGTCTGAAGTTGTGCATTTTCTTTTTCCTGACAGACCAACAAAATGAAACACAAAGAAGCTGTCCATCAATTTACTTGGCATGGGTCATTCAGAACTCAAGATACTGCCAGAAAATGTCTCTCTGTGCACTATTTCTCTCCAGAAGTTTAGCCAGTTTAATTCTTCAGCCTAAGCCTGTGTGAAGGTGTGAACAGTGGCTAAGCAGGAATGTTTCTTTTATTTCAGGATTTGGTGACATTTGGGGATGTGGCTGTAGATTTCTCTCAAGAGGAATGGGAATGGCTGAACCCTGCTCAGAGGAATTTGTATAGGAAGGTGATGCTGGAGAATTATAAGAGCCTGTTGTCACTGGGTAAGATCTCCCTGTAATTTAGGAATGCTTTCCATCGTGAGTATTTGAAAGCCTCTGATGTGTTTCATTAAATTTTTCTTCTTGGGCCTCCAAGATGATTTCTAGAATTGGTAGCTTCATTAGACTATTCTTTTTTTTTTTAATCATTTTTTTGTGGGCTCATACAACTCTTAACACAATCCATACATACATCAATTGTATAAAGCACATTTGTACATTCGTTATGCTCATCATTCAGACTATTCTTGTAACTTTATTTCCCCTGTTCTTCACATGTTATTTATATGTTTATTATTCTTTATTCCGTCCTATAATGTTCCTGCCTTCCTTATGAACAAAGAACTTGTCCTGATCTATGTTGTTGTTCCTGTTGTTTTGTGCCATCAAGGTGGTTCCTAGTCATAGCAACCTTATGTACTGCAGGACAAAGCATTGTCTGGTCCTCCCCATCCTCACAATTGTTGCTGTGTTTGAGCCCATTTGTGTTAGGCAGGGTTCTGTAGAGAAAACAAGGACACTTAGGATTAAATCTATATGAGGATAGGTTTATACAGCGAGAAGGAATATAACACCTAATTAGTCCACAGAGGGTTCAGTTCAGCTCACTTCCGTGGAACAACTAATATACTGGAAGTTCTTCAACTCGCATGGGCCGCTGGGTCCAGGGTCAAGGAAGCAGACAGTGGAGTCCTCCCTCAAGCAAGGCAGGCAGAGTCTGCCCACAGGCAGCAAACAGCAGGGTGGGTCAGCAACAGTCAGTAGCTCGGGAGCTTAGCAAAGCAGGCCCTGATGGGTTATCAAGTGCAAGCAACAAAAGGCGACAGGATCCACCAGCCTCAAACTCAAGTGAAGCCCCACCAGCAGTGTGGCGCAGCAGGTCTCTAAGGAGCCTCTAGCTCTAGGGGTATGATCTCTGGGTTGGCTTTGCCCACAGGTAGTGTAGCTCACAGGTTGAGGCAGAGAACTATCTAAAGCAACAGCACCATCCAGCAGATCAAGATGCAGGGGGGCAAGCCCTGCAGAGCCCTTGATCTCTCTGCCCTCCTATCAAACTGCAACCTGATTAATTCTACATGTTCCTATTGGCCAGGTTGGCACAATAAAACTTACATCATTGCAGTAATTCCATCTCCTTCAGAGTTGTTGCTTACTGTCTGCTTTGCTAAACATGATGCCCTTCTTCAGGGGTGGGTCCCTCCTGATAACATCTCTAAAGTATATGAGACAAAATCTCACCATTTTCATTTCTAAGGAACATTCTGGTTGTATTTCCAACAAGCCATGGTGTATTTAATATTATGATCTTTGGTTAATTCCTCTTTTATTTCTTCTAAACAGGAACTCCTGTTTCTAAGCCAGATGTGATCTCATTATTGGAACAAGGAAAAGAGCCCTGGATGGTGAAGACAAAGGATATAAGAGTCACATGCCCTGGTGAGTGAGAGAGAACCAGGAACATAGGAACCACTGCCAGTAAAAACTCAGCTCTTCTCAAAGGTTCTAATTCATCAGGGTTATATCCTGGGTAGTTTTCCCCTAAGGCTTAAGGCCTTAGGTAAACATAGAGGTGTCTTGTGTTTGGGCCTCTCCCCCATCGACTTATTCTCCTTGTATATAACCCATATTCCCGTTTTCTGCATCCAAATCTACAGCTTCTCTTTGTCCTTGCCTCGTATATTTGCTTAAGTTACTCCATTATTTAAAAAACTCAGACACTGCGATGATCACCCTCCTCTCTAGTCACTGTTTCCTTTTTTGATTGATTAATTCTTTTTTTTTTTTTCTGCTCTGAGCACTTTCTTTTTTTGATTAATTCTTTTAGACACTAAATTATTTATACAAACAAACAAACCAGTAAGTAATCTATTGGAATGTGGGATAGCCAGAGACGAGAGAGAGGGCATTTGGAAACTGTTATGTTAATTTAGACATAAAATGATGATCATAATTTCATATGACTTCTTTAATTTGTTATATTTTTAATTGTTATTTTCTCTGATATTTACTTTACTGATTACATATGATTACTTCATTTCCTTAATTCACTTTTTTAAGTTCTCATTCTTTATGCTCTCATACTTTATAAATTTCATGACTGTATGTATTTAAAAGTTTTTAAGTCCTTGAGTTTCATATGTATCTTATTCACCTATTTTGTTCTAGAAGTTTCTTTTTTAAGACATAAATACAAAAGATGCTTATTTTCATATCTTTTAGATTGGGAGTATTCATTTGAGAACAGTGAATGTTCATTCAAGCCTACTACGTATGAAGTATTTGAAGGACCAGCTACAGTGATGACAACAGGAAGAAGTCATCTCAGTTATGGCCTCGACTCTGTCAGTTTGAGAGACAAATGTGAAAACCAAGGCTATTTTAAGAGCCAGCTGGGAAATCAGGAGACACATTCAAGTCAACTGGTTATTACTCATAAAGAAATCCATGCTGAAGAACAAAGTAGTAAATACAATAAATCTTGGCAAACTTTCCACCAAGATACACAACAAAGCAGTCCCCCCAAGACCAAAGGAGTACATCAGCATGACCCACAAAAGAAAAACTGCCGGAAAGGATCTGTTGAAATGACACCCAAGAAAACCTATATAGAAAAGAAACTTTTGAAATGTAGTGAATGTGAGAAAGTCTTTCATCAGAGCTCATCCCTTACTCTCCATCAGCGAATTCATACTGGAGAGAAGCCCTATGCATGTATTGAATGTGGGAAAACCTTCAGTCAAAGTGCAAACCTAGCTCAGCATAAGCGAATACACACTGGGGAGAAACCTTATGAATGTAAGGAATGCAGGAAAGCCTTCAGCCAGAATGCACACCTTGCTCAACACCAGAGAGTTCACACTGGAGAGAAACCTTACCAATGTAAAGAATGCAGGAAAGCCTTCAGCCAGAATGCACACCTGACTCAACACCAGAGAGTTCACACTGGAGAGAGACCGTTTGAATGCATTGAATGTGGGAAGGCCTTCAGCAATGGTTCCTTTCTCGCTCAGCATCAGAGAATCCACACAGGAGAGAAGCCTTATGTGTGCAATGTGTGTGGGAAAGCCTTTAGCTATCGTGGGTACTTAATTGTACATCAGAGAATTCATACTGGAGAGAGGCCCTATGAATGCAAGGAATGTAGAAAAGCCTTCAGCCAATACGCACACCTTGCTCAACACCAGAGAGTCCATACTGGGGAAAAACCTTATGAATGTAAAGTATGTAGGAAAGCCTTCAGCCAAATTGCATACCTTGATCAACATCAGAGGGTCCATACTGGAGAGAAACCTTATGAATGTATTCAATGTGGGAAAGCCTTTACCAACAGTTCATCACTTGCACAACATCAGAGAAGTCATACTGGAGAGAAACCCTACATGTGTAAGGAATGTAGGAAAACATTTAGCCAGAATGCAGGCCTTGCTCAACATCAGAGGATTCATACTGGAGAGAAACCTTATGAATGTAGCATTTGTGGGAAAGCCTTTAGCTATAGTGGGTCTCTTACTCTGCACCAGAGAATCCATACTGGAGAGAAACCCTATGAATGTAAGGATTGCAGGAAGTCCTTCAGGCAGCGTGCACACCTTGCTCATCATGAAAGAATTCATACTTTGGAGCCATTCTTGGCTTTTCCTTCATCCACAACCAATCAGTTGCCAAGACCTATAGGTTATATCTCCTAAATATGTCTGGAATTTGATCCCTTTCATGCATTCCCATTTGATCACTCTTGTCTAATATACAATCTATTTGATGTGTGCTGTGGAAGTAGCTTTCTAATTGCTCTCCCTGTATCCACCATTGTCCAAACTGCAGCCAAAATTCTGTTTCTTTTTAAAAAATCATTTTATTAGGGGCTCATACAACTCTTATCACAAAAAATTCTGTTTCTATAAATAAAAGTTTAGCTATGCCTTCTGTCCGTCATTGAAATCTCCAGTGGCATCCTCCAGTTCTTAAGTTAAAAACACACTACCCTAAAAATAGCCTGAGGTCTATCCTACCTTGTTCCAATCTACTTCCCAAAGTCTTCCCTCTCTACCCCCAAAAGTCTTATATTATCAATAATTATTCTCTGGAGTTGGAACTGATTTATGGCAGTGAGCTTTGTTGTTGTTTTGCATACTTCACCAGAATTAAGAACTCAGATTGCAGCATTAAATAGGCCAGAGTTTCAGTTCTTACTGTAAAACTGTGTTCTCCTTTTGGGGAATGTCCTTTGTAACTATCAGTCTTTTTATTTGTACTATGGTATTAATAGTACTACCTCACAAGTTGGGAGAATTTAATGAAAGAATGCATGTAAATTGTTCAGCAGAGTGCCTAATGTGAAATAGCTCAATAAACATTGATATAAAATAACAAGATACTGTGGTATACAAAGAAGAGCTGATCATCTCAGCCAAAGTCAACTGAGAAATTTAAAATGCAGTAGCATCCCAAGCCTGGGAGATAATAAAGGTTTTTTGTTTGTTTGTTTCAATTTGGAGAATTTGTCATTGTCCTAAAGATGGGTGGTGAGGCTATCCTATACTGTAGGATTAACATTAGCTTCCATGATTATACACCTACTCTCAGTGATAATGCTGTCTGGCATTTTTGACAATAGTAAAAATTCTGACTATTTTGCACATTAACAATGTACATGTGGCAGTAATGAAGTGAGAATAATGTTGACTGGGATAGTTAATGCTATGTATCAACGTGATAGAGTCAGGTTTCTAAGTGGTCAGCAGGTATGTAGTGATGGAGTCATTTACAATGTGATCTGATGTCATCCATCTTTTCATAAGGCTGATATGTGTATAATGACCTGCTCTGATTCCCTGTTAGTGAGTGAGGAATGTGTGTACAGGGTAAGGTGGTGACTTCTCATCATAGCTATCTAGCCATCTGTATGATGTTTGATAAGAAAAACTGTTAGGTTCCCAACAGTTCTAAGAAGTCATTTTAAATAAGTTTTACTGAGATGAATTGTTTACATTCAAAGGAGGAAAAGACAATTAAAAAAGTGAAAGGATCAAACAAAAAGTAGAAAGTAAGCTCCCTTGTTATTCCTAATGGAATTAGACTGATGATGTAAGACTTATGGCATTTAAAATAGGGGTGGGAGGAAGTTAAGCATCTAGCTAGCAATCCCAAAACTACTCAGGAAAAGAAATCAGCTTATTTAATACTTATTTTTTCAGTAATCCAGTTACGTGAAAGATCTGTTATTCTGATAAACTGTTTTATTCACGTGCAAACCGACTATTTGCATATCCATTCTTTGAGGCCTGGCTGAGACGAGTCCCTTCATCTGCAATGTGACATTGCTTCTGCCGATTGCTTTGTGAGTGGTAGAAATACAGAGACACTTCAATCCAATCCAGGGTTGGATATTTTGGAAGATCCAGATGACGTGGATTTGGCCGCACACTCATTCTAAGGGCCAACTTATTGTTACCGAATCCCTGATGGGTTCATGTTCCTCTCTCGCCAAGGCGGTCCTTAGTTCTGTCACTCATCCTCTTTCTCTCCCCTAAGTGTTTGATGGTCTGGGAGCTATGTCTTTACGTTGGCGTCTTGACTCTCATGCCTTAGGCAAACGAGCCAAGAGCAAAAGGAAGCCCCAGGCCTACCCACCACTGCAAAAAAACCCACTCAAATAATTTCCAGTGGTTTTGAGACAGCTTTCAAAGCAGAAGAACAATGTCTCAACTAAACATGCGAGAAAGAGCAAAGTGCACGTATGTTTCCCTTTCAGATAAGGCTTGATGTAGACTGTGCCCTGAAGGTGAGTCTCCAAACAGGCACAAGGACCGCTGCCTTCCCAAACCGGAGGTCTTCCTGTCCTATGGAGAAGCGTTGGGCTTGACGATGGCCTGTCCATCTTTTTCACTGTTCTCACAGCTCTAGTTCTTGGGGTCTTCGTGAAACATCAAGACACCCCCATAGTCAAGGCCAACAACCAGATGCTGAGCTACATCCTCCTCGTGGCCCTCATGCTTGGCTTCTTCTGTCCCTTGCTTTTCATTGGCCGTTCCACCACAGTCACGTGCCTCCTCCGACAGACCACATTTTTGGTCACGTTCACCGTGGCCGTGTCGTCTGTTTTGGCCAAAACCATCACCGTGGTTATTGCTTTTCAGGCTACAAGACCCATGAGCAAGATTCAGAGGTGGGTGGGTCCCCAGACAGCTTATTCTGTTGTCTCCTTCTGCTCCCTCGTCCAAGTAGTGATCTGTGGGATCTGGTTGGGTACTTCTCCCCCCTTTCCAGCCAAAGACTCCCTGTCCTTGCCTGGACACCTCATTATCCAGTGCAATGAAGGTTCTGTTGCTGCCTTCTACTGTGCCCTGGGCTACTTGGGGTTCCTCATCTTGGGGACCTTTGGTGTGGCTTTCCTGGCTAAGAATTTGCCCGACACCTTCAACGAAGCCAAGCTTCTCACCTTCAGCATGCTGGTGTCCTGCAGTGTCTGGGTCTCTTTCCTCCCAGGTTACCAAAGCACCCAGGGAAAAGCCATGGTGGTGGTGGAGATCTTTGCCGTCTTGGCCTCAGGCGCTGGACTGCTTGGCTGTATCTTTGCTCCCAAGTGCTAGGTGATCCTTTTCCATCCGGAGAGGAACACCCACTGGTCTTGGAAGAAGAAAGCAGAATTGCAATAGATGCAGCAAAATCAAAGGCCACGTGGCACGTGCGGGTGTTTGTAATTCATAGACGTCAACATTTGCATCCAGAATCCTGAGAGAATGCTTCAAGGGACTTTAAAATATGTAAGCCAGAAAGGGGCAATGGTGGTGGTGGTGGGGGCGGTATGGGAAAGGAAAGAAATATCCCGTGTTTGCTGAGCCATCAAATATTACAGATCCTTTTATAAAAGGAAAAAGCAAACCCAGGCAAGATAATTGATTGGGAAAGGGGAATGCCAAAAATAAAAAGAAGCACAATAAAATATAGTTCAGCAGGGAGAGGAAGACACTGGAAGTATGGGATGAAGAAAACACCAGGAAAAGAGTCCTGACACATAAAATGGCACGGCAGAGACACCTGACTCTCTAACTTCACAAAGGATGACCAGGATCAAGAGTTCAAGACTGATTCCTACGGGACATACCTCTTCTCTCCAAACTTGACACCAATTCTGAGACCAACTTTCCCTCCCATGGCATTCTCTACTTCTCTCTTTGCTGAAACGGCCACACAGAACTCAGACATGGCTCACAATTATGGAGCATCTAAGGGAAGTCTTAGGTTACGATTCAGAATAGCTTTTTCTCAGCCATGCCTTTGGGCAGGTCTCCCTCTGTCCCTCAGCATCTCAGCCCATTTGCCTGGCCTCTTCCCTGCTTGGGAAAGTATACATAGCTCTCCCAGCTCTGCTAGTCCCTGGTCCAAAGGCACTCGGCTCTTGCTCTTTGCATTTGAACTCTTGGTTCCTGAAGAGGCTCTCCATTCTGCCAGAAAGTGCACCCTTGCTCCTGGGCCCTGAAGTTCACTGTATTGTCTGTGGTAGGTTTTCTGGTTTTGCTGATACCATGTCTCTGCTGCTACTTTTTACCACCGCTCACTTTCTCAGTGAGGCATTACAGCTCTCCCTCCCTCTTTGTCTCCTGTGTTCAAGAGATTCTCCGAGCACGTGTCTCAGGTCCAGAGGGTTCTCTCCACTCCTGGCTCTCCTTTATTGGTAGTCACCTACCAAGTCCCGTCTCTGGGATGGCTCGTGTTAAGCTTAGCAGGACAGCAAAAACTAACCAACCCCTTTGTGAGAACCCATGCACCTTATTTGCATAGTCCTGTGCCCACATTGATGCCATGCATCTTGGTCACATTATTGTAGTGATCTCTTTTCCTTGGTGTCCCATAAGCACACTTGCACAGTCCCACTCAGTCATTTGGTGGCGTTCAGAAGACTGTAGATGGAAGGGTCATAATAACTTACTGTACCACATATGGGTATATATTAGCATGAAGTGTGTACTGCTTATATTAGAAAGCAATAGAGAACGTGAACTAGAAAATAGTTTAGGAGGTCATTTCTTCCTAGGATGAAAGGTCAGCAGAAGTGCCCATTTCTTCCTTTCTGCTAGCGGCCTGCCTGAGAACTTGCTGTGGGAAGGGGCAAGTTCATGAAACCCGGGAAGGTGGTGCTGGTCCTGGCCGATGTTATTCTGGACGCAAAATTGTCATCATGAAGCACATTGATGATAGCACCTCAGATCGTCCTGACAGCCATGCTCTAGTGGCTGTAATCCACCGCTATCCCCGCAAAGTGACAGCTGCCATGGGCAAAGAGAAAGCTACCAAGAGGTCGAAGACCAAGTGTTTGGTGAAGGTGTATAACTATAATCACCTTCCAGGTGCTCTGTGGACATCCCCTTGGACAAAATGTCGTCAACAAGGATGTCTTCAGAGACCCTGCTCTTAAACGCCGGGCCATCGGGAGGCCGAGGTCAAATTTGGGGGGAGGTACAAGACAGGCAAAAACAAGCGGTTCTTCCAGAAGCTGCGGTTCTAGATCTGCTTGATTTAATCATTAAAAACGCCCCCCAAATATGGCTTTGTCTGTTAGCTATGTGTATTGCCAGCCTGGGAAAAGGAACATGGACATGCGGAGACTTGGGGCTGGGTGGTGGTCAAAGGACTGGGAAACAAAAGTTAAACCTTAAAAAATATTATTGAAAAATATTAAGATAATAATAAAAAAAGATTGCTGTGGTTGTTTTGTGTTGTTTCTGATCCACAACAATGCCATGTGACAGAGTCAAACTGCCCCATAGGGTTTTCTTGGATTTAAGTTTGATAACGACACATTGTCAAGTCCCCCCTTTCTCAAAGCTGCTGGTGTGTTCCCATCATCGCCTTTGGGGGAGTGCTTAACTTTGTGACACTCGGATCACACGGAAAGTTGTCCCTAAGAGTCGCCGATGTTGCTGCTGGGTGTCAGGAGCGTCTATTCCAGCCCATAGCAACCCTGGAAGACAAAGGAGACGCAGTACTAAACCATGCTCACCCATCTCTGTCAAGAAATTCAGAAGACAGCTCGCTACCTGGCCAAACACCTGGAAAAGAGCCACATTTCTGCTCATTTCAAAGAAAGGGGATCTAACGGAATTCGGAAATTATCGAAGGACCTCATTAATACCACAGGCAAGCATAATTTGACAGAAGAGAACGAAAACGTGGTTGCAGTTGTACAGCAACAAAGCTGGACTCAGAAGAGGACATGGAACAAGGGCTCTCACTGCGGATGGCAGGTGGACCTTGGCCGAAAGCCGAGTATACCAGAAGGATGTTTACCTGTGATCCATTCAAACCGTGGCTATCGGTGCAAAGAATAACGTGAGAGCAAATCGTCCTGAGATGAACTCTGGGAAAAGAATATGCGCTGAAGTCTCTGAACGCAGAGAACCTGGAGCAGAACGCTGTCCTGGGCTTCTGAGTAATGGGTTGCATTATTGGGA